TATATATATTAGTTTTATATATATTATATATATATATTATATACATATATTAATATTATAATATTTTATATTATTATAATATATGTTATAATATTATTATAATAATATAATGTTATCTATTATTAAAATATTATATATTATATTATATATTATTATAATATTATATATTATATTATATATTATTATAATATTATATATTATATTATATATTATTATAATATTATATATTATATTATATATTATTATAATATTATATATTATATTATATATTATTATAATATTATATATTATATTATATATTATTATAATATTATATATTATATTATATATTATTATAATATTATATATTATATTATATATTATTATAATATTATATATTATATTATATATTATTATAATATTATATATTATATTATATATTATTATAATATTATATATTATATTATATATATTAGTTTTATTTATATTACATATATATTATTATATTATATTATATTATATTATATTATATTATATTATATTATATTATATTATATTATATTATAATTATATTATATATTATAATATATTATATTATATTAGATTGTATTATATTGTAAATTTCGTAAATCATGTTCATATATGTCTTATGTTCTTTGGTGCGCACTGTTTTTCAACTGTAGAATGTTACCCTGTAGTTGTTCTGAGATATGTCACGTTCCATTAGGGTGTTGTTCTTGTTTTGCCTGTTGTACTTAGTAACTTCATTAAAATAAGGTATTTGAAGTACAAACCTACAAGAAAATGTCAATATTGGGGTCTTTCGGAGAAGCTTTTTGGTCAACAAGAATATGGTTGCCACCTAATACAACGTGGGAGGATATCGCTCCTGGTTCTAGGTTAGATGTAAAGCATGCAGATTATAGAGATCTAGTTTGGCCACTCCCGTTGGCTTTAGTAGTGATGATTATTCGATTTGCTCTGGAAAGGTAGGTTATTTTTTATAGTGAAATAAAGAATATTATTAAGTAACAAACGTGAACTTTTAAGTCAAAGATAAGACAAACTCTAAGATATAGAGTGCAGAACATAATTAGTGGCACAGTAAGCATATTGAACTTTATCATTGCTTTTAACCCGGTAATACTGCGATTTTTAATTAGCAAAAAATTTTCAATTGGCAATTAAATTCATTCTATTTTATTATATCAGCCGAAATTCTTTCTCTCCGAGTTTTAAGTAAAAAGCATTAAGTGTGCTTGAAACACTTTTAACATATTTCAAACGCTTGTTTTTTGTGGTGTTGTGTACAATATGAAATATAAAAACAATCACAAGTTAATTTAAATAAAAGAAAAAATTAAAATTAGAAAGGCAATGGTAAGCAATGCATTTGAACTTATTTGTAATTGAAATGTGAGCATTTCAGTATTTTTCATAGGTCTGGAAAATACTGCATGAAACCAATTGCAGTTGGCGTGTTACTAAACAAAAACTGTTTATTTTACAGCTCAGCCACTACAAGCGTTAAGTCTTCGCAATGGAGTAGATAAGCAAGCTAATTGATTTTTAAAACAATGTAATATTTTCGGATGAAAGGAAATTTAATATCTTTCGACCTACTAGCCGCCAAACGCTTTGGAACAACCAAACATCGTATTGCAAATAAAATAATCATACCATATCAGTGAAATATTAGGGGTATTCAGGCAACAGATTAGTTGCTTAGTAGATTAAAAAACTTCATATAAAAAAAATTTTGCATTTTGATGTTAATCAGTTGCTTGAACGACCCAAAATACGTAATCTGATTAGTTTGTTGTGTGCAAATGCCTTGGCAGCACTCGTATCAACAGCAAAAGCGAAACATATGTTAACAGTGAAATACTCAAATATTCGTAAATTTTAATATCATTTGAATTTGTCATATAATTTATCTTATCATATCATATAATTTATCATATAACTAAAATTTCAAACGTGTCATATATCATGATACTTGCTGCACTATTAACCAAATAGATTTTCTGCTTAGTTTCTTTTTGTATGCAAATTTTTGTTGTAATAAACTACTAAGCAACTAATCTGTTGCCTGAATACCCCTATTGTATTTTTTATGGGGATGCATGTCCGTTACAGGTGTCGGCGAATATATAGCCATCCTCAAGAAAAACCTCAAAGTCTCGAAAACTTCAGTTCACCTGCCACATTCAGCTTCTAACATGACAATGATCCACAACATACAGCTTGTGATGTGCGTATGCAGATCACACATAATAAAAAACTCACAAAGCCACATCCTTTTCAATCCCCAGATCTCAACCCCATTGAATGTTTGTGGGAAGAATTGAATTTAGGTCTACATACAATGTACTGTGGTCTAAAGCGCGTTGTAACAACAAAGATGGTACTGTTCCAAGCAAAAGGGCTTGGGTAATAAATATTAATTTTTACCTTAAATTTTTCTTTTTAATTTGGTTTTTAATTTTTGCATAAGGTGTGTTAATAATTTTGTTCGGCCTAATTTAGTACTTTTTATGGTTTTTTAATTTTAAAAAATTAAATATAATAGATAATGAATTTAATTGCAAATTTAGCATTTTATGTAAAAAAATATTTGAATCAGTTTGTTAGGTAGTTTTATTCACATTTGAATATATCAATTGTTTTCTCAAGAGATTATATCTAATATTTTTAAAGGAACTGTATCCGAAATTTATATCCGAATTTTAAGTTGCTTTGAAATTTTTAAGATTACGTAGTTTCTATTCAAAAATATTTAGTACAAGACATAGACGATTACTTAACAAATATTAGAATTAAACAAAACATGAAATGAAGCTAAAATTAATATCTTGAGTGGCGCCGGCATTTACACGCGAATTATATACATAAGTACAAGATTTGTGTTTTGCACTAAAATACTAGTTTTGTAGATAGGATTCTAGCATGTTTTAAAATTTTAAGTATCTAATTTTATTAAAAAGTCTCATGTAACACTAAGAAAGGTTTTATTTTTTTAGTATAAAACAAGACAAATATTGTTGAATGTTTTTATTATAATCCAAAGATAATTTCATGGCATTTATTTTTTAAATATGATTTCCGGCATATGTCCGAAGCGGCTATGAGTTACATGGTCCATTGGTGTCAATGGTGGCATGAACATTGGCTTCCAATGCTTCAAGAGTTGCTGGTTTGTAGACATAATCTAATAAATTAACATAACCCAATAAAAGTTATCGAGAGGCGTTACATTGTACGAATAAGGGGGGCAGTTAACAGGACCACTTCTGAAAATAAAGTTGTCACCAAATTAATTTCGCAACAAATCCATTGTTATGCGCGCTGTATGACAAGTTGCGCCATCTAGTTGGAATCAGATGTCGTCGATGTTTAGGTGTTTAATTTTTGGAAACTAAAATTCAGTCAGCATAGCTTGACAGAGGTCGCCATTTACCGTAACTGCAACTCCTTACTCATTTCGAAAAAAATAAACAGTCAATTTTAATAGACGTAATGGTGATCCCTAAACGACTTGAGGATTGACGGCAAATCTTTTTAATTTGAAACACATTTATGTTTTATTATTTTAAATTTATTTTATTTATAAAACTAATAGTTTATTTCGGTACTATACATGGATTATAGTACTGTCCTTTTTGAAGAATAACTCTATATCTAAGACTTCAAACTGAAACAAAGTTTTCACAAAGTTTTTAAAATCATCTTAGGTTCGGTTTCTTATATACTAGTATGCTTCTACAATTCTTAAGCAAACTTTCTATTTACTTAAATTCTATTGGTTAAAATAATACATAATCTAATTTCTACTTACTCATTCCATTGGTTAATTACAATGTGTGTTCTAGTGACACACATCTCATTAATTGTATTATGGACTGATCATATTGCATATGCATTGCATGCAATATGATTACGAAAAACACACTTTGCTTCCATGTGGTCTAAATATGGAAATTCAAATAGCCAAGCACATATTGAAGTAATAAATTATGTTGACAAATGTCAACACAGTTTGAAATTCTCAGCCGTCAAACCAAAGTTATTGATATCAATAATTATCTATATTACCTTATATAATATTAAAAAATTCCGCAGAACAATATTGTCAATGTTAAAACGAATGTCAATGCTTAGCTGAAAAATTAGATATCTAGATATATTACCTTATTTAATATTAAAAAATACCGCAGAGCAATATTGTCAATGCTGAAACACATGTCAGTGTTTGGCTGAAAAATTACATCAATTTATGTTCAAAACATTGACTTCTCAATATAATGAACTACTTTTGTTTCCTTTGATAAATATGAGCTGTCTATTAGGTGAGTGAAATGTATTCACCTTCACTCGCCTATTGATGGCCTGTATAAGGCCATATTCCATTTAAGCCTTTGACCCTACATTTGCCTTTAAGTAATTTTTTTTACATAATAAAATTATTTTTCTATAAATATTTCAGGCGTCTTTTACAGCAGATATTAATAAGCTATCTGGAGATGTCTGTAAGGTTATATTAAAAGCGCTCCAAAAGATTTATGATGAGAAAACTAAATAATTATTATTATTATTATAAAAAATAAATTAAAAATTAATAAAAAGAACTTTGAGTGTGAGAAAATTTTAGAGTAGTTTATGCCCAAAATATAACACGACAATATAGGTATATACATGTAAAGAAGTATACATTTACAGCGACATGGCAACCCCGAATACTGTGCAGTGGGAGTTGTGAGCAGTCTGGCATCAGTAGTGAGCAGAAGTTAAGAAGTGGCAGTAGAAAGTAGAAGTCGAGAAGTTGTCGCGTGTTCGAATCTTGGTCATTATTTTATTTTACTCATTACTTTATATTACTTTGTATTTTACATTGTTTAATATCAAATATAATTCAAATATATTACATTTGGGGGCTCAACCGTCGAGCAAAACAAAAAAACAAAAAAAAAAAGAAAGTTGATGGGAAGTTGTTAAAAGTTGATCAAAAATTCTGTGTCTGCAAATATAGACACAAAGAACAAAAAAGCCACAAGCTGGACACAAAAGGAGAACACGAAATAAATAAAAAGAGCGCTGCAGAAATAGGCGCGCAAAACATTGCTGAAAAAGAGAAGCAAGAACAACAATATTACACACGTTCGCAGGCGTTCAGAAGGAGATCGTTCAGTGCGTCGCAAAGAGGAGAAACAGCAGTTGAAGCAGAAAAACAACGAATATCAAAAAATAAAGCGATCACAATGGAAGCAAAAGTGGATGAAAATAATAAGAATTTGCAGCAACTTATTCAACTGTTAACACTGAAAATTCAAGCAGATGAAATCAAACAACCTGAGCCTAAAATAGCAGTTGAAAATTTTGCAAAAATTATTTCAGACTTTGATGGGGAAACAGTGCCGGTGAGTCATTGGTTTGATAGTTTCGAGCGCAATGCCGATGCATATGGATTAAGTGAGAAACAGAAATATGTACAGGCGCGCGGAAAAATGGTGAAGACAGCGCAATTATTCCTTGAATCGACGTGCATTAATACATATCACGGAATGAAAGAAGCACTGTTAGCTGAATTTGAAAAAACACTAAGTAGCGCTGAAGTACATAAGATGTTAAGTGAGCGCAAAAAGAAGAGAGACGAAAGTTTCCACGAATATGTTTTAAATATGAAAAAAATTGCTGTTCTGGGTCATGTCGAAGTAGAATCAGTTATTCGATATATAGTTGATGGTCTATATATCAAAAATGAATATAAATTTGGTTTTTACAGCTGTAAAACATACCAAGAGCTCAGAGAGAAATATAAAATATTCGAGCGGGTAGGAGAAACCAACAAACCTGAGAAGCAACAGTTTGTTGGTGACAAGAAAAACATCCGCAATTTTAAAATACCCCATTGCTTTAATTGTGGATCAAGCGATCATAAACGTGTAGATTGTAAGATGGAAACGAAATGTTTTAAATGTGATGGAGCAGGACATATATCAAAAAATTGTCCAAATAAGACTAGAGACATACATATTGTCATTAAAAAAGACCGAATAAAAAAAATTAAATTGAACAATGTGGAAGTGGCGTGTCTCGTTGATACAGGGGCAGATGTGTCAATTGTAAAAAACAGCATTTATAAAAAATTGGTGAATGTGGACATACAAAAATGTCACTCGGTTTTACGTGGTCTTGGTAAAACAAATACCACACCATTGGGTATTGTTACGGGCTTGGTTAAGGTTGATGATGTTGAAGTTCAACAAAGTTTTGTCGTGTTACCAGATGATAAAATAGAGTACGACGCTTTGCTTGGTTTTGATTTTGCCTCCAAGTTTAGTGTTACACTGAATGAGAATGGATTTACGTTTTCACAGTTATCGATAGAGCAAGAGTGTGCTGAAATAAATCAGATAAGTATGATAAACTTTAAAGAAACTGATATAGATGTCTCTCCGCAGTTTAAGCCATTAATACAGTCATTAATAAAGGAGTATCGACCAATCCAGTCAGAAGTTGAATGCCCTGTATTACTTAAAATTGTTCCGGATGCACAAATGAAGCCATTTCGTCATCAGCCAAGCCGTTATCCACCGACTGAATGTGAAGCAGTGAAAAAACAAGTAGACGACTGGTTGAACAAAGGCATCGTGCGAAAGTCGACTTCCGACTATGCCAGTAGAGTAGTTGTAGTAAAAAAGAAAGACGGTACATATCGAATTTGCGTTGATTTTCGACAGCTGAATACTATGGTGCTTAAAGATTGCTTTCCAGTACCACTAATCGACGACGTACTTGATAAACTGCAATCCGCTAAAGTTTGCGTTGTAATGGATTTAGAAAATAGTTTCCTTCACGTGCCAGTAGAAGAAGCAAGCCGCAAGTATACGGCATTTATTACCAAAGAAGGTTTATTTGAGTTTAACAGAGCACCATTTGGGTTCTGCAACTCTCCGGCTGTGTTTATAAGATTCGTTAATTATATATTTCATAATTTAATTGCCAAAGATATAATGCAGCTATATATGGATGATATTATAATTTATGCACAGACTGCTGAGGAATGTATCGATAAGTTAAAGATAGTTTTGGGAGAAGCGGCAAAATATCAGTTGTTAATCAAATGGAAGAAGTGTCATTTTCTAAAAGAGAGAATTAAATTTTTGGGCCATACAGTTGAAGCCGGTAAAGTTTGGCCAGGTCAAGAGAAAACACTTGCCGTTAAACAAGGGTATTACAGAAAATTCATAAAAGGCTATGCACACATTGCTCGCCCATTGACCGATTTGTTGAAAAAAGACGTGATGTTCAAATTTGAAACAACCGAATTAAATGCGGTAAATCAGTTGAAAAATGCCTTGACCAGTGAACCTGTCTTAAGAATTTACTGTAGAAATGCACCAATTGAATTACACACTGATGCATCAAAAGATGGTTTCGGGGCAACATTGTTCCAAAGATTTGAAGGACAATTACATCCTGTGGTGTTTTGGAGTAAAAAAACTACGCCAAGTGATTCTAAACGTCACAGTTACATACTGGAGGTAAAGGCGGCCTACCTTGCAATAGAAAAGTTTCGACACTACCTTCTAGGTGTCCCGTTCAAGTTGATTACAGATTGCTCTGCATTTACTCAGACAGTTAAGAAGAAAAATGTTCCACGTGAAGTAGCTCAATGGATATTACATCTCCAAGACTTTGACTTTAAAATAGAACATCGAGCTGGGGAGAAGATGACGCATGTTGATTGCCTTAGCCGTTTTCCGATGGAAGTTCTTACAATTTCCTCTGAGATCTCAGCACGCTTAAAAGTAGCTCAGCAAAGAGACGATTTTATTAAAACTGTGTGGGAAATATTGAAAACTAGACCGTATGATACATATGTAGTTAAAGGTGGAATAGTGTATAAAAGCGTAAGTGGCAATGATCGGTTGGTTGTTCCCAAAGTAATGGAGCATGAAATTATTACTGAAGCCCATAATATTGAACACTTTTCTGTACAAAAGACAATTCATAGCATAAGTCAGCAGTTTTGGATACCACATTTAGAGAGTAAAGTCGCTCGAGTAATCAACAATTGCGTTAAATGCATTATCAGCAACAAGAAACTGGGCAAACAAGAGGGATATTTACATTGCATTGAGAAAGGAGACAAACCATTACATACAATACACATAGACCATCTGGGGCCTATGGATTCTACAGCAAAGCAGTATAAATTTATATTAGCAATGGTTGATGGATTTTCTAAATTTATATGGCTATATACTACAAAGTCTACAGGTACCGACGAGGTTCTAAGGAAAATAGAAGAGTGGTCGAATATATTTGGTCAGCCAAGTAGAGTGATAAGTGATAGAGGAGCTGCGTTCACGTCAGTTGCGTTTGAAGATTATGTTAAAGCGAATGCGATTCAACATGTTAAAACTACTACAGGTGTTGCGAGAGGCAACGGACAGGTCGAACGGGTCAATAGATCGGTTTTATCGATAATCTCGAAACTATCCGTTGAAGATTCATCGAAGTGGTACAAATTTGTTCCACAGGTGCAAAGAGCCGTAAACTCACACGTGCACAGTTCAACAAATAGGTCACCGTTCGAGCTGATGTTTGGTCTCCAAATGCAGAATAAGTCAAGTGATAAAATCATTTCAATGCTGGAGGAGGAGTTGATTGCAGATTTTGATAGTGAAAGGAAACAAATACGAGAGAATGCTAAAGAACAGATAGGTCGCGCACAAAAGGCATATAAAGAGAATTATGATCGAAAACGTAAAAGTGAGATCGGGTATAAAGAGGGTGATTTGGTGGCAATAAAGCGAATCCAGTTCGTGGCAGGTAAAAAATTAGCGAGTAATTTTCTTGGTCCATATGAAATCATAAAAGTAAAGCGCAATGGTCGTTACGAAGTGAAAAAGGCTGCACAAGGTGAAGGCCCAATGATAACATCAACCAGCGTTGACAATATGAAACTATGGAGATACGTCGAGGCGAATGAGGACTTGTTGTCGTCTGAGACAGACGACGATGATCAGGATGACCGAATGTAAAGAAGTATACATTTACAGCGACATGGCAACCCCGAATACTGTGCAGTGGGAGTTGTGAGCAGTCTGGCATCAGTAGTGAGCAGAAGTTAAGAAGTGGCAGTAGAAAGTAGAAGTCGAGAAGTTGTCGCGTGTTCGAATCTTGGTCATTATTTTATTTTACTCATTACTTTATATTACTTTGTATTTTACATTGTTTAATATCAAATATAATTCAAATATATTACATACATATATACGAAATATTTTAAAATGAAAGCAGACAAGTATTTCCAAATTCAGATGATTATAAAATGGATATTAAATGTACAAGTATTTGCAATCTAAGTTCCATATATCTGTTTCTAGAAAATATCAATTTATATAAACATTAATATAAGTCAATTAATAATTCTATTGTATCAATATTAAATATTACTTCAATTATATCAATATTAAACCAATATGGATTATTTACAATATTAATATCTCTACACTTGAATTGACCACATTAGAATAAATTCTTTAGGTGCCAATTGAAATTATATATTTGAATATAAGTTTTTTCTTATTGAGGAGTGAGTCCCATTGAATTCTGAGCTGTTCTTACGTGTGCCAAAGTTTTGGGCACACAGATCCCTTGGTACCAAACCACCTCTGGTGGGGTTTCGCATTGCGGCAAGTCTTTGGAATGCTCTGCACACACTGGTTTGTTGCATAATGTACATGCCTTACGAGTAGGGCAAGCACTTGTCGATGTTATCGACGCCACCTTTGGTTTTGTTGTAGGCCAATATAAGCAATGGCTATTTTTTGTCGCAATTACTCCGCAACTATATGTCAGAATAATCGCATAACATTCCCGTTACTTTTTTCATATAATTTAATAAAACTTTCACAGCAAAAAAACAAAATTTCAGAAAGATGTGCGAACATAAAAGTCAAGTACGGTTTTGGGTCAGTTGGTTACATTGCGCTGACTCTGAGCTTTAAATTTGTGCAGATCACGAATTCGATTTCTAGTACTTGCAGTCTCAAAGAATTATTTACGAATAATTAAATGCAAGAATTGTTTCCAAGACCACTGATGATGGGTATTTGGTAATACTTGAATTAGCTGTATGGTCAGCCAAAAATTCAATTTTGGTTGTAGTTCATTACTGTTCGAAAAACCTCCATATAAATTAATGTAAAAATTGGTTTTGTTGATATTAAAGTAAAGTATGGTTTATACAATTATTTTTATGATAGAAACTAAATACACTGAGTAAAATATTAAATCTATTCAAATTACCGGCAAAATACATCGAAAAATAATATTCAGTATTTTGTTTTATAAATTTATTAATGTTACCATTATATGTTTTCAGGTATTGGATCGCACCTGTTGGCAAATCTTTAGGCATAAGAAATTTAAAACCAAAAAAAGCTCCCTTTAATAAAGTTTTGCAAAAAGCATTTGAAACTTCATCCAAACTAGATCATCAAAAGGTAAGAGCAATAAAATATGAATGACTAGAAATACATCAATATTTAGAGTTTAGTTTAAATCTATTAATAATAAAAATCAAATACATAATATATATTTATGTAGATTAACGTATTATTATTTGTAGATAATCGAACTTTCAAAGCATACAGATTTAACTAAACGTCAAGTTGAACGCTGGTGGCGTTTACGAAAGGCACAAGATAAACCGTCCACTTTGACCAAATTTTGTGAAACAACATGGAGGTGTATATACTACACATACAGTTTTATATTTGGTGTTATAGTGCTTTGGGATAAGCCATGGTTTTGGGACTTAAAAAACTGTTGGTATGGTTACCCACATCAGGTATATTTATATATATAACTAATGATATGTTGGGCATTTCACATGTACTTTGTACAATAAATACCTGAAGAAATTTTTCATATTTACTTTCGTTTATTTTAACAGTTGTGCGTACACATAAATTACTATATTAAGTAGATTAAAAAACGAAAATCAGATTTTAATTAAACGTATCCTGTACAAATAAATCATTATTTAAAACAATGATTTATTTATAAATAATACCACATCAGAAACTTGCTAATTCTTTACAAGAAATCAACAAGGTTGAATTAATCAATTCTCTTGAAACACAATAATTTTCTATCTAAAACTTATTGACTAATAGTTTATTTTGACGACAAATAAAAAAAATTTTTATTACTTTTACGGTTGATTCCAAATTTGAGTAGGCTATCTCCCTTATGGTATGTTAATAGTTGCAAACTTTTACCGTAACAGCGTAATCTCATAGATTATTAGCATAAAAAGAAATAAAAAAATTAAAACAAAATTATACAATTTTCAACATTTGTATTCTGTTTATTTGTTTTAACTGTTTTTACTCCAAAAATTTAAAAATAAAATAACCAAAAAAATCAACTCTATTGTGGAACACCAAAGAAATTGTTCCAAAAAGAGTTCAAATTTACAACAACTAGTCATATTGACTAACAAGAGTTTTTTTTTAATTAATATTACAAGTAAGTTTACATAAGTCTATCTAAGGTGAGCATATAGATCTGAGCTAGTCATCTCCTTGCTGGTTGAAACGCCTCAAAAAGTCATTTGGTTTGAAGCGACATAAGCGTCTGTGAGTGTCATCGCAAAGTAACGCCGGAATGGTGCTGTTTATGTGTTGCCTCAGCCTGTCTAATGTGTTTTAGCAGCCTTCTGTATTTCTTGCTTGACAGTAGGTATTTTAAGGTCATGATGTAGATCAGCATTTCGTACGTACCACGGAGCGTTAACTGCATCCCTGAGTGCTTTATTTTGAAATCTTTGCATCATATCTATTATATGTTTTTTTGAACAACCCCAAATTTGACCACCATAGAGCAAAATCAGCTTGAATACTTGTTTATAGATCATGAGTTTGTTTTGCTGAGATACTTTAGATCTCCTTCCAATAAGCCAAGTTAACTTTTTGTATTTTATATTCAGCTCAGTCAATTTTTTCTTGACGTGTACCTTCCATCTCATTTTGGCATCTAGACTCATGCCCAGATATTTCGCAGAATTAGCAACTGGAATTTTTACGCTATTTAGAAATAATGGAATTTGATTTTCTCTTTTGTTAGTAAAGTCTACATGAATAGATTTTGAACTGTTTACTATCAGCAAACAATCTAGAGTACAAAGAAGCGCCACGCTCATACAAACGAAATACCCACTTTATTTTGCTGGTGGATTTATAATAAATCCACTCAACCTCATGCAACGATGTTCGATCGTATCACGACTGGTATGATGTTCAGTTCAAACTCATTGCAACCCACAATTGTCTTCATACGCCTGTTTCTTTTGCCTTTCTTGTTTTTATTTGTCTTGTTTATTAATATACATTGATTAGTGGCGAAATGCTTAGTAAAGAAATCCCTGAAACAATTTTTCCATATACTTTGTTGCTTTATTTTCTTGTACTGGAAAGGCCAATATCGTAGGAGTAAAGAGTAATAGAATATATTATTTTTTTGTTGCAAAAAATGATGTACTACAAAAACCGTTATGTATATTGGAGACATAAAATCTGCAGCATATAAATATGTATGTTTTTATTGCACACATTTGTGGATATATTTTATCTCAAATGGAACTACGTCTTAATAGTTTGAATTTTTGGTGACTTTTTGTAATTATTTTAAAAAATATTGTTTTAAATAAGGCGTAAATAAGACTTCACAAAAAAGTCTTTTATAATTCTTAAAACCAAAAAAATATTGAAAGTTTATATAAACATTATACAGTTTTTTGTTGTCCATATACATTTATATTAGACATTTAAAATTTATTCATACTTAGTTTGATTTGTTCAAAAAGTTTAAAGTCTCTAAAATGAATCGTAAAACGATTGCGGCTAATAAGTGTTGTTTATCTCATTGTAAGAGATCCAAAATATATTTTCCCGATTTAAAACTATTTAAATTTCGCATGGACAACATTTAAATATAAAACTTCATAGAATGGAAAAATCAGATTTGAGACAAATAAATTCGTATTGTATTTTTACACTGCAATTCATAACAATATCAAACAGGTAATTTTGTTTTTGTTTTATACTATTAAATTTAAAAAATGATCAAATGTACATAATTTTGATTTCGTCACTGAAATGATGTTTGATGGCTTGAACATTTTACAGCGAACAAACATACAAACATGCGTATAATGTAATACAGAGGGTTGCATGTATGATTGAATACGTATGCAGTCGGGCTTTTGTCAGCCGTACTCGACTCACATATATGTTGGAACTGCACATCATACCAGTTGTGACTCGATCGAACATTGTTGCATGAGGTTGGGTGGATTTATTATAAATCCACCAGCAAAAAAAGTGGGTATTTCGTTTGTATGAGCGTGGCGCTTCTTTGTACTCTTTGCTATCTATGTCCATTTATTTGTCCATTGTTCAATTTCTTGAAGAGCGATTTGTAGCTTGGTGGTAGACACCTTGTTGTTTGGACCTGTAGTCATTATTACCGTGTCATCTGCAAAACTTCCGACAATACAACTTGGGTTTACTGGCAAATCATATGTGTACAACAAGTACAGCAATGGGCCTAGTATACTTCCCTGAGGGACCCCGCGAATTATAGGATATAATTGCGAATATGCGTCAAGTAGTTTAACTCGATAGACTTTCGCCAATATAGGATTCCAGTAGTTTACAGTATTGCTGAGGCAGGATAGTGTTTAGCTTATATATCAAGTCTTAATTTTTGAGTGGCATTATTACGGTTTCTTTTATCTTGTATTAAACGTGATTGTTGTCATTTTTTGCGAAGTTTTTTTTTATGATACACTAGATTTAAAATTTCGACCGGATACTTTTTATCAAATTGCTTACTATTCTGCAGTGGAGAACTGTGCCATGCCAATTTTTGAATCAAGCTCGTAAAGCACTCTAGGTCATTTATACTTCGTATTTTGCAAGATAGGTCAATGTGTTCATTTATCTGAGCCAGTCTGTTAGACGGTTTGTTAATGTCAGTATGCGTAGCATAGGTAATATGTTACATCCATAAGTAAGCAATATTCGAGAATGGTCAGAATTTAAGTCGAGTCCTGCTTTAACTTCAATGTGTCTTTTTTGAATTTAATTTACAATGAAAAAATCAATGAAACCTGATCATTTATTTGTATCAGTTGGCATGCTTTAAGTAATTCCTTACCCTTTGTGGAATTTAGTCTTGACCCCTATTGAACATTTTTTGCGTTAAAATCACCACCAATTTATGCTTGTGTAATTTTAATATATCTATGTATTGTTCATATTTTACATTATGTCTTGGTGGACTATAGATGGACGTTATTAGGATTTTGAAACCACTCTCTTCAAGTGCAACGGTTGTTGCCTGGAACTGTTCATTAGAGAGTTTATTTTCTTGATAATGCTTAATGTTGGATTTAATTATAACGGCACTTTCGCCTCTGGCATTGTTGCTTGGATGAATTGTATGATAAGTATTATAGTTTTTAAAATTGATATACGATTCTTTTGTAAAATGAGTTTCGCTTATTAGGCATATATCTAGATTTTCTGTTTGCAGAAGTAATTCTAATTCGTTTTTGTGTTGAAGCAAACCATTTGCGTTCCATTCCATTATTTTGAGAGCAATCATTCAGATGTACAGTTATGTTTTCGTTTTAAGTTGTGTAGGCGATTTTCTATTGCCATTAGTTTTTCAAGAATAACAGAGAGGACATTTTGTGATTCATCGGAAATATTTATTTTTTGGGCTACAGAGGTTGTTGGCTTAATAGCGTCTGCATATGATTCATTAGCGATTCTTCAACTTGCGTATACTATTGGTCTTTTGATATTATCTGTTTGAACTGGGACAGGAAGTTTATTTGTTTTTTGGTCTCTTAATTTTTGAAGCTCCTTGCTACTACACAACCGCGATATGACACTGGGTGTTGCTTATAGCTTAATGCTTACCTGCACATTTCACACACCTAGGCTGCTTTTGACAGTAGTTTTTGATATGGTTGAAGGATTGACATTTGATGCACTGCGGAATAAGTTTAGAAGGTTTTATTGTTTCTATAGATACTATTGTGTTCACGATTTCTTTGATTTCATGGATTTTGTTCGTATCTTCTACTGACTCGAAGGTTAAGATGAACATATCCAGTGGTTTCTTGGTTTTAAATTGTAGTTTGTTAAGTGAGCTGACAATTTTAAAACCCTTTTCTGCAAGGTCGCCTACTATATCTTTAAGGTCGCATGAGTGATGCAGGTTTTTTGCTATAACTCTTATTGGTCTAAATTGTTTATCTTCGTAAGAGTACCATGAGAAATTTGCTTTATTTAAAGATCTAGTTATTTCCCGATAATCGTTGCCATCAAAAATGCTGATTTTACATAAGTTGTTATTCATTAATTTCAGCAAAAATTTATTTTTGCTTTCTATGTAATTATTTTTCGTATGTCATTGTAATTATCAGAGACAGTTACCATAATAGGAGGTGGACGTAGCTTGGTTGATGCCTTTTCCGTTTCATTAGAATGCTTTTGTGTCATATTGTTAAGAATTGGTGACACACTAGGAGATGTGGTAGCTTTACGCTTTTTTGAGGCTGTTTTATTTTTTTTAACGATCCAGTCGGTTTCTTGAGCAATCTCTTCCTCATCTGTTTCGAAAGTAATGTTGGTTTGTTGATTTACTTTGTTTATTTGAGGGTTGTTCTTTTATTTTAGTGTCTTCTGCATTAAGCATTATATAGCCATTTAGGCCATTTTCACTAATTAGTGAGTGTCGTCGTATAAAACTTTCACAATTGTTCATGAAATATTGGTTTTTTTTTTTATAAAATAATTATTTTATTTAATTATTTAAAATTATAAAGCATATGCTGCTCTATCAGCTGTTGAGGAAATAAATTTTATTTTTGTTTTTTTGTGATTGTTTAATTTGCAAATTGAAGTTTAATTTTTTTTTTTAGAATAAAAAATTTTTAAATTCACAAAGCCGAAAATCGGCCACCGTATTGATAAATTTTTTTTATTTATTTATGATCAATGGATCAAGTGTTCAAAATTTTAAAATTTGAAACTTAACTTTTCGGTTTAAAAACAATAGAAGTTGCGGAGCGATCACTTTTCGCTCGTGTTTCACTTCAATGTTCAATATAAAAAATAACCAAAAATAAAGCAAAAAAAAGTATTCGACATTTATGCAACAGCCTGCAATTTTAGTAACAATAACTAAAATTTAATATTTTATTAAACTTCCTTTACGTTTTATTACCTCTTTAAAACGCTTTGGCATTGATTGGACTAATTTTGCTATCATAGCTGGATCTATATTAGCCCATTTGTCCATTAAAACCTATTGCATCAGTTGCTTGTTTGAAAAGCTGCGTTTTCTTGATTTGGACTCCAAATGAGTCCAAAGATATTTTAGGGGGTTTAAGTCTAGATTTTGCGGAGGTGTTTTTATCATTTTTCGGCAGTTATATAATAACCAAAGCTTAGTGTTTAACGCAGAATACTTTGGATCATTATCCAGAAAGAACTGAAAATCATTCCCCATGCCCAGTTTTTCTGCATTTTGCCTCAAGTTTTTCTTTAATATATCGATATACCATGTTTATCAGTAGCAACTGTATTGCGTTTCTCCAGTTCCGTATTTT